GTCAGCTATTCAGGTGGCAAACGTCTTAACAAGACCTGGACCTCAGTCCCAACAGATAAAAGTCTAAAGGTACTGCTATTTTAAGCTCACAGTGTCAGTACGTAATTCCACAGTAGCAAAGGTTTATCCATCCTGGGACAGGCTTTCCAACAATGGGAACTGCTCTTAGAAATTCAGGACTCTCGAGTCACCAGGTAGCTCATACATATCTTAGGCTTACAGGCTAAAAAGGTCTCCTATAGCCTATTTAATTCAATTTGCCAAACTGAGATGATATCCGAACCATTAGCATACCATAGTTAGACACCATACATCAGTCATCACCACGATTTCTCAGGAAAAGTCCTCCCCATTTGATTATCAAGAACCCCTCAGACAGATACATAGCAAAATGCTAGCAATGTATATAGCTATTCTAGAAAGGGAAACCATATGGCATTCTTAAAATAGTCATAGTTTATGCCTAGTTATGTGCCTGACATCTATTATTTGAATAGATGCAACTATTCAAAGCAAAACCATATTCCAATTAACAACTGCAAGATTGGACTAACGGGCTGTCTGGAAGGGCAGTTACACTAGGAAGAAAGAGCACACTCACTATGTCTAAACAATAAAATAATTAATCTCTGGAAAGAAAGGTCACTTACCTGTCACTGCTCTTCTTTAGGATGTTTTGTCTACAAATACACTCACGTTGGAAGCATATCTAGAAGCATTTTCTTCTTGGTTTCTTGCAGTGTTTTCCAAATCCTGTTTCTTGACAGTAAAAAACAGAAGGATGGGACTGAATTACATATAGACAATGTGCCTCAAGGGAGAACCGGAGTATTACCTGTATGCATCTTCACACGAAGGGACTGCCACGAACAACTATCCGTTCCTTGGGAAAAGAGTGCTGGCCACTCACCCAAACAAAACTGGTGGGCCAGCCTCCTAAATCTGGTCCTTTTGACTTTTGGTTGGAATATAGTATGAATGGAGCTCCAATTAGCTGCTCAAAGTGTCTTGGCAGCAGAAACCTGCCGAGCCTTCGTACAGTCTCTTATTGAAGAAGGCAGTTTCTGTGTAGTCCTTATCCTTGCAATTAGAGCTGTGACTATTTGTGTAGTCTTGCTGAGTGCCACAAAAGGTTATTGGCTGGGCCAATAACCTCAGCCAGTGTGGCAAGAGGACTGGGAAGGACACCAGGAAGCTGTATTTGACATGCTCTCTGCTGTTGCTTTCCTACCAAGTGTGATGGTGTTCTTGAATCCAAAAATTACTGTACTCTTCGCAGGCCTCACTAGTGCCTTTCCAATATGGGAGCACTCCATTTCTAGCTCGTTACACCCAATTACCTGGAGTAGTAATGTCCCAATCTTATAATTGTCAAACTTAGAGATTTGTGTCTTATCATCATGATCTTCTAGCATTTGGACAGAGTGAGGCTGTTCTGGCTTATGGACAGTTGTAGAGCTATTGAGAAGTTCAAGGTACAATACAAAGCACTAGATTTGGACACCAGCACATTCAGACCTCTCTGTAAAATGAATATCCATTCCTCTGTGGCTCAAGTGAAAGCTTTTCTTCATTTCTCTACTCAGGTGGCTGAAAAATGATCTTCTGAGCAGATCATCTCTTCAGCTAGCACTGCCTTAATGCTGCATGTGCTTATCTTAATCTGTTCATCTTACACTAAACATCAACTCCCTACTTTTGGTATACAAGACTGCGGCTTATGTATTACTGACACAAAACAGATGAGAATTTTTGACTTTACAGTTTTATGTGCAATCTGTTGAGGTACCAGCTACTGTAACAAACTTGTTCAAGGTTTAAAAAAAAATAAGTGAAAGGTTTGCATAATCTTTTTTTCCAGGTTGAACATTCATTTGGGATGCAGTAATTCAAAGGAAAACAGCTTAACAGCAATCCTGAATTAATACAACTCTTTGTTTCCTCTGGCATTTCCAGACCTTCCTTTCTGCTCACCTGTTGAAATGAGTATTTACACAACTGCACGTCACACTGATATAATACATGTTGTGCATATTTACATACCTTAATAAGCCATTTTATAAGGAAATAAGTTGTTTTTGCCAGTAATGTGCCATTACCGGGTTTATTTGCAGTAGAGGTACCAGTATCATCATCTTTCCAGAAAAAACTTCCTCAACATCCTCTTGGGGCCAGCAGTCTCTTCTATTCAGGTATTGCCTTCAAGACCACTATGAGAGGTCACCTGAGTCACAGTGTGCCAAGGGATGGGTTGCTGACATAAGGCAGCAAGAAGATGTTTTATGCTTCTTTGCTCCTTTTTGTCATCTCACAATATGGGCACTAAATTACAAAACCCTTATTTTCATCAGATCTGTATTTCACCCATGTGGAGGTGGTAAGTGTGATAAATTAGAGAACTAGGAAGACAAATTGTCACTCCCTCTGTCAGCCATACTTCTGCCCAACAATCCATCTCTCTGAAATGTGAAAAAGTCCGAATGCCTCTATATCTTCTCAGAGATGCCCAGGGCTAGACAGGCAAGATTCACTGTTGGTCTGCTTGTTCCACATGAAAAATGCCTTTATTTTTAAGGCTGATTACCTTGAGGACCTTTTATTATCTTTATTATCACTGACATTTTTTCCTTTCTCATCCTTTCATTTCCCCAAAAAGGGGAATGCCTGAGAAAAAAAAAAAAAAAAGTTTTATTCCGATACATCATGTGCTTTTATGTGAAACAAGAATTTAAATTTTTTTTAGACATAATTTTCTTATATGTGTGACCACAGTGGCTGTGGTCACCTTGAAAAAAAAATTATGTTGGCACCTTCCCTGTCATCTCCATGACTCCATTAAAAAACGTTAGGGGAAATTTTAAGGGTGTTCCAATGCAGGGTTTTCCTTTACAAATATGAAAACCATAGATCTCAAGTGAATTCAGTGAAATAGTATAGTACTGGCATCTTCATGAAATATCATTAGTATCTCATGAAGTATCATTAGTATCTTCAGAAAAGTAACCAAAAAGATACCCTGCAGCCACACCTTGAAGAGACTGATGCTTTAGTCAGTGATACAGTGACACATTTATCCTTTTGCTTTTTTTCCTCCCGTAAGGTTATGCTAACTTAATACTTATGCCAAAAAAGACAAGAAACCTGTGGCTTTAATAATTATTAGAAATAATTCTCTGAATTTATATGAATGTATACTTGGGTCACTGATTAGGACCTCAGCCCATCTCCTGCCACCCTCAGCTCCCGACTCCTGCTGGTTGAGAACCTGGAGCTTCTGGTGCTGTTAGTGGGACTGTGAGAAACAGTTCCCAAAGAGAAGCAGAGAATAGTGACAAATTAAGAAAAAGAATACACCCTCATCCCCACCTCTCCACTGGGGAATATTACACCAAGGTGTAATTTAGAGATCTTCAGGCATGGAAATTGTAACCTCAGGATCTCCATCAAAATTCTTCCTATAAGCATAAGGCCAGTTTCCAACCTACCATCCAGTGTAAATCTGGAATAACTCCAGTGATGCCAACTGTCTGTGTATCTCTAAGGAAATGAATATGTCTCAATTTTAAGCAACCAGAAATGTCTCACTGAGAGGAAATATCAAGTTAATATAACAGATTACCACTTCAAACTCATGCTTGAATCAGACCACACTGGCTAGTTGAAAGTGAGTTCTGCCTGGGTATAATATTTGAGACTGATGCTTCTGCAAAATAAACACTGATGTTTATGCAAAGGGTACCTAGCTTCCCATGCCTCCTCACAATTACAATTATGCAAAAATTGAGGGCCAAATTCATCTCTAATGATTTCAACATAATAAAGGCAGAAACTGTAAAATCATAACTATATGAAATGAAACTATTTAATTCACTATTTTATAGAAAATATTTTTAACGTTCTATTGACATAATATACAGCTATACACCTCCTAAGTTACCCAAACACGTGCAGAGGTGCAAAAACATTCAGACAGAATTTGTGTAAAAAGCAAAAGTCGCCATTAAAAAAGAAACTTAGGCCTTTGTACAATGCACCATTCTACTCTTTCAATTTGCTCTTTTAGTTTTCATTTTATATTTAAATTTAAAAACTAGTCAACACACTGATATAAGTATGTAGATTTTCATTTAAATAAGTCAGTCAACAATCTTTTTTATAAAGTATTTAACACTTCATTGTAGAAACATAGGCAAAATGACTATTATAACCAAAATGAAAAATACTGTTCAATTTAAAAAAATGTACTTAAACAAGAACCTGAAAAAGTTTATGATATGCATAACATTGTTCAAGCAAAATTGCACTAGTATTACATAAATCAGGAGTTTATAAAGGCCCCAATATGGCAAAGTTTAGAAATAGGTAGTATGCATGCACAATATTACAACAAAAATCTTTTATAAAACAGCAGTTATTTTTGTAATGCTTGTACAAAGGGAATAAAGAGCAACCACAAACATATTTAATCTGTTAGGTTAATATATTATGATAGCTAAAAGTCAGTCATGTCTTGCAGAGGAACGAAGAGTCCTCCACAGTAAATGTGTGAATAAGTCTTTTGTGCCTTTACAGTTATGTATAAAATATTTTGATTCAGTTTAAACCTGAAAGAAACTGTATTCTTTATTTCCATCAAAATAAAAAAAAAAAAAAAGTGAGTCAGATTTTTCCTCTTAGCCACAACAGAAAACAGACCCGGTCAGAGGAAGCTCTGGAAACTGATACTCTTGCTTGTCAGTTTTCATAATTCAATTTTGATATTTAATCCACATGATTGAAATTTGGCCTTAAGTAAAGTCCTGCTAATATGCAATTTGGTTATGATTTACCTCAGCAATATTACAGCTTATCTTCATTTAAAGGAACTAGTTTAGTTTGGATTCCTTAGTATATTCTTTGTTCAGGTATGACCTTTCTTGCGATTGTCCAAACTCAATGCTGGGATCATGTGTGTGCTTAAGGGGGTTTGTTGTTTTTTGCTTGTTTGTTTGTTTGTTTAATTCCTACTGCTTGGTATGTGTTGAGGAATTATGAATCCATACATAATACACGTGATTAGTGAATAAACATATGATGCATGTGTAGGCAATGCCCTCTTGTGCTCTAGGGTGGCTACTGTCCTACAGGACTGTTGGAGTTCGTATGCTTTGTCCCACAGCAAGTAAGGTTTCAGCTTTCAAGATATATTGTTACTATGTTCTATAAGGTTTTAATAAATACAGAGCTTGTTTACATGGTATATATGTTTAGTATTTCATGTACAGTCACTGAATTTCTGAAACATAATCATTTGTGTTCATGCAGATCATTAGATGTTTCATTTCTATAGTCTTGTTTACTTTTCGGCAACCTACAGCTAATTTAAAAGCAAGTTATGTTTGTTTGTGAAGAGTTACCTAGCTTTATCAGGATCTGAAGAGAAATTCTAATGGGCACAAAGAAGAGAGGAGACCATTCAACCATTCTTTCACCATTTAAAATAAACAAAATTACACACTGTACTACAGCTTCCAGACTACATAATGAAAAAGTGCAGATACCATCTTCATTGATTAAGTAGAACCAAAAAAGTTCATAGAAAATAGATTGCTCATTTTCACGCTACAAACGAATACGTTGTTTGCAATTTTAACAAATTTAAAGGTGTGTTATTTCAGCAGCATTGTTGTAAATTGTACCGTAGTGCAGTTTCTTTTTCATAAAAATACCTTACAAATGGTCAGTCAAAAGTCATCAGCAAAGGAAAAACCCAGAAAACAATCAACCAAACAAAAAACAGAGGTAATGCTGATGCCAAAACAATTATAATACTGTTGGTACATAGAAAAGTAATCCTTATATTTTATACATTTATACAGAGTATAAAAGTTAACAGCAGATTATGCCACAGTCTCCCTTATCCCAATATCTATTTTCTTTGGAAGGAGTTCTCTTCTTTCATCAACACTTGCTAAGGAGTTTCGACAGTTCTGTCCATCCACGTACAACTTTGCATATACTGGATTGGAGTAATTTGTTGGCTGTAGAGAAATCAAGCATAACTGAGATCAGTAAGATTAAACTGAAACAAATGTTTATGGAAATGGAAATGGTTTTATTAAAGCAAGAACGAATACACATAAAATATAACTGGACCTATTTAATAAGTAGCTGAACATCTGAAAATCTGATAATGAGTTAATAATTTAGTTAAAATTAAAATCATGGTATGAGACATGCTTTTAAAATAATCGATGACATGACATGCAGAATAGTATGACATTAAAACTGTAAATAACAGTGACAACAATAAAAAAAACCTTGAGAAATGTCTCTGAAGTTGACTTGTCCACCTTATTACACTGGAAGATTGCAGAATAGATATGAAAAAGTTTATAGAGAAGGTGCACTGTGAAACCATGTGACAAGTTTAACAGTAGAAAACTGCAACCAACAGGTTCTGTATATTACCTGTTCTAAGACATCAGCATCCCATCAATTGCTGACCATGTTTTCGAATTCTGTGGCCCAAATATACAACATGATTTGACCAAAAATTCAATACTTTATTAATGTAAATTAAATTTTATTTAATAATAAACCAGCATACCTGTTAACATATCATAGTATTTACAAATTGAGAAGTATTTTCTTAGGGTTAATGATTTGGTAGTTTTTACTGTAGTTAAAAAAAAAAACCTCCTGAAATGAATGTTAAGCATAAGACAAGTCCATTTTTAATTCTGCAAAGCACTTCAGTACATGAGAATCTCCTGAGTCTGACAGTACAGAAGATGTGTAACATGGATGAAAACATATCCTTCTGTCATTCATGCTAAAGAGGAAGCATTATCCAGGGTTTTTAATGTCTCTTTTTATTCCTTCAGACTTTGTGTTTTCATTGACTCACAGAAGACCTTTGCTTCCTGACAAGATTTTCAGCTTATTATGAGTAATAACTGGAAAGGCTGCTTTATGATCATTCTCTAACTAACAAAACAGCACAGCTTAGCCTATTCAAATACTGCAAGTGGAACAGCAGTAAGCTATAAAACAGGTAAATGGATTTGTTTGGTGCATGTAAGAAGTGGCTGAACTTGAGAATAACCCAGCTCAGCAATGGGTAAACGTTCTTTACTTGTAAACACCCCAGCTATGCCCTGGCTAACACAGATTACAAGCGGTTTAGAAACTTGTCTCTTCCTTTCTTTTTGATCAATACCCTCTCAGAACCAAATTTTGCATATTCCTCAGGCTACCTAGATGTGGCAGCTACTCATCCAGGTTAGTTAAAAGCTGCCTACTCCTTCTGTTACGGAGCATAAAGTGACTGCCTGGTATCACATTTTCCTGGAATGGAGGCAGAAAAAGGTGAGTCACATTTATTTAAAAAAGAAAGATGCTACTCTTCTATATTAATGGCACATTAATACATAATCAGCTGTTGTAGTAATTTATGAGAGCAAATTCTCAGTTATACTTTTCTGTGTACACTGACTTGGATATCTTTACTTCACTGATAACTATTATCATCAGCAATTTAAGATAACAGAAATTTAGGTTTATTTCATTTGGCAGGACTTTTCATTTGATTGACAATCACTATTAAGGATAATAACTACAACAATATAATGACACTTCTCCTTTGTCAATGCCTCATGGAGTCACTGACATATAAAGCAATAGGTAATGTCTTATGATACCTCTTTGAGTGGGTACTGAGAGTATGATGCACTAGCGAGATACAGAAAGTAACTTGAGTGACTCAAATAATGGAAATAATTAATGTTAGAGATGGACATATATGCTACCTTTCCTCATCCCCAGTTTTGTGGTCCATCAGAAATATATTACTCTATATAAATTATTAAACATTCGAATATTGAAAAACTTAAACTATCATGCAAGAATGCAAATGGCACAAAAATGAAAATATATATTGTGGAATATGAAAATGAACATTATATTGATGTCCCTTTCTTTGCTTATTGGTTTTGCATTTTTTGCAAAGATACATTTACAGCTTTATATAATGTTACGATGGTGGGTACAGATGACATTTTGTATGCAGAGAGGCATGCCCTATTTCAAATTTTAAATGTAATATTTCCTGTCACTTTTCTTGCCAATTAAATGACAACGACAACAACAAAAAAGGACAGAAAATGCCTCTATTCTAAAACGACATACAAACTTTGTTTAGAAAGGGACTGTGGTGGAATGAAATGCATTTGAATCATCATTTCTCACCCCTGTAGAGAGTGGTCCTTTCAAGTCAGAGTTTAGGTAGATGGATGGAGCTGTGTGGGGAAGCTTGAATGCAGTGGGCCCTCCCCCTATGTATCTGGCCTGTATAAACAGAAAATTTTAGTTTCTGTGCTAACAGAGCATCTCCCGCATATAATCACTGTTAAATAAACAGTACAGTGATTAAAACCATTATTTTGGAGTCACCTACAGCTAAATAAATCTCACTTAATTACAACTATTCTTTAGCTTGGGAGATTCTTCCATTCAATAGCAGAATGAAATTCAGAATTCATCCTTTTTCATACAGCATTAGAGCCAGGCTTCAAAACTAGTGTTGATTCAGTTGCTCATCCTCCTTTTTCCTCCTACCTCTTGTGCTCTGCAGACTGACTACGGGATTCAGCAACACCATCACTAACCCCAACAACAATCCATACAGCCCTTCACTGCACATCTGATTAGAGCTCCAGCAAAGACACCCAGCATTGCTCTGCCCGTCCCATGTCACACCACCGAGGGACACCAACCACTAATGCTGCAGAAGCAACCGCGTCATTTACAATAAAATGATAATGCTTACTAGCATTGGGTAAATATTCAATCTATTCAGCCAGGTCTCCAAGTGTTTTCCACTTTTGGAACTTTTCTTATATAAAATAAGGGAGTCTTATATGTATGAATTCATTCTTTCACTTTTCAAAAGGCAGACTGTAATAGTAGTACATTTCCTTTTAGTGTATTTGTGACTAGCTTAAAAAAGATATGCTATGTTTTCTGGTTTAAGGCAGATATTTCTATGACAAAAACACATTTTGCAGTTTAATCCTAATTCTGTTTTGATGAAATGCTAAATCTAAACTAGATCTAAATATTGCTATTTTAAGTTGCTGTTCATTACATTCAAAGTCAAAATCATTGCAACACGTAAGTAGTTCTGCCATTAGAAAAAATATTACCTTTTCTGCATTTACAGTAAAATCTGAAGCTAGAAGACCACCTTCACTGTGATCATGGCCCACCTCATACATGTTATATGATGGATTTCCAATTTCTACATTGATTCCTCCGTTTATAATTGGTTGTCTTCTGATAGTTTTTGTCCTAATATGCAAAACACAAAAACAGAGAAGTGATTTTTTGAAGTCATTTCTTGAATTCTTCATCCTAAAAGAAGTATGAATTTTACTTTATTTATCTTTAGGACAAAACACTATTTCCTGCAGAGACAATCAGAAAGTCCTTGTATTCTACAAAAACTTTGCATTTTGAGCATATGTGCAAACCTGACATGGACTGTAACATTTTACTGTCGTTTCTCAGTTGGGCTGGAGCAGTGTGAATTCATATAATGCACTCACTCGTTGTTTGTGCACCCCTGAATATCTCCCACTATTTCCATATTTACCTCAATTGCCAAGGAAGACCTTGCAAACCTACTGCAGTTTCTCTGCAGGGTGAAGCTATACAAGCCATCAACATTCTCCTTTGAAAGCAGGAAGCCAAAGCCATAATCTGAGGACAATTTAGTGCATTGACTGTGATGCACTAAAAATTCCAGTTTGTATTCCTTATCAATTGGTTATTGAAAAGCTGAAGTTCTACTGGAGCTTTTTCAAACTTAAACAAAGGTATATTCTTATTTTTAAACTTGAATTAAATAATGAAGACCAATACATGATTTTCACACGATTGAGTGTAACTGCTGGAGTTGCTAATTCAGTTCTATTAGGTAAGAAGGAGATTTTAGTTTCGGCAACTCAAATAATCTAAAGAGGGTAATTTTTTCCTGATGCAGCATGTTCTCTAAAATTATGAAAGAATACTAGGGAAGTCGCAACACGCTAAAAGATCTGTATTTCCAGCAATGGCATAGAAAAATACAATACTTAAGCACTTATGTGTACTATACAAGCGTTGAACAATCCAAATCTAGTTTAATACTTCAAAACCTTCTCTGAAGAGATGGCAAAAGCTAATACACACTTTCAAAAACAATTTTGAGAAAAAAAATAGTGCTTTTTATTCAGGTTCATTTCTATTTTGCTACTGTAGATCTATTATTTAAGCATTGAGAGTAATTTGTTCGACTGAAATGACTTACAGACCAGCAGCTAGTTTTCAGGATTTGGCTGTCACTAAATTTGGTGGTTAGGAACAGCAGCACATAATGTCTATGGAGCCTGGCATGGTAAGTGTCACCAACATTGTGATTTTTTTTTTAATATAATGCTGGCTTTTAGAAAAAGATTTAACATTTTATGCTTGCTATAAACGGCAGAGTTTGCAAGAGAGAGAGATGCTATGTGTGAGACGGTAATGACAGCCTGGAGGACTGAAACAGTCTCATGGAAGGTGATGTCTGCAGCAGCAGCAGCAGGTTCATCACTCACAGGTAAAGGACTTTGCAAAGGAAGTCATTATCTGAGCTTCACAGGCAGGTAACAAGCCACAAGAGAAAGCAAGCTGTTCAAGACTAAAAAAGCAGGCCAATTACAGGATTGCAGCAGATGCTCTGCCTTCTGATTGCCAGGCCAAGCATCTGATCTTTTCCTGCCTTCTTCTCCATGTCCAGTGCCACCATGTTGCTGACCATGAAGAAGCTACCAGTTCTCCCAGGCATCTGTACAGACCAGAAACAACTTGGCTTCCTCTGCTGCCTATTGCTCTATTATTCTTAATGCTGTATTCTCCACCTTCTCCCCTGTTACCTTTATTTCATTTCCTCACGTGATCAAGATCTCACAATGTTTATTCCACTCTACATTTCCTTCTCAGGTTTTATTCCTCTCTGCAAACTCTCTCTTGCTGTAAACTCACCACTTCTCATCTCTTTTGCCCCTATATTTTTCCAATGTCAACACATACAAAATCACATATATAATTAATTTTCCTTATAAATCTTTGTTGTACCAAGGTTACCTGTCTCCAAGTTATAAACTTCTCTTGGCAAATTCATGAATATGTCTTTCACATATATTCAGATTTTTTATCATAAACATTTAATCTGCATAAAGCTTGGGGATTGTTCAAGCTTAACTTGTCTTTTAAAGAAATTGCCACGGTCAGCATGATTTAAACTCAGATTTAAACTAAGACTTACTGGTCAGTCCTGGAAATTAGATTACTATACAAGACACTAAAGAAATGCAGCAATGTATGGTAGAATAATCTCTAAATATTGTTTACATTTTCACTATAAATTATATAAAATTAACTCATTAATTGATGTAAAATCACAGTGAATATAATTAGAAACTAGAAATTTTGCACAGACTATCTAACAATATTTATTTATATATGAATATTCTTTCTTGATTAAATTGTTTCAGCGAAACACATTAATTCTGTTTACTAAATTCACTAAGTCCCTGGATAAAAATATTAATGCTCACTGCTTTGGCAGGATTGGTCAAGTTTGACAGGAAAAGAATTATACTTTCTTATCTACTGTATGCTGGAATATAAACAATAGAGATGATTATTCCTACAAGGACAAAAATGTAAGTAACTCCATTGCATTCAGAATTCCTTTTATAACGAAATACTTGTTCTACATGTATAAACTTTTGATAAGAACTGTTTGTTAAATACTTCATTTCGATGGATGCAAATCTTACCATGCGAAAGAATAGTATTACTTACCTTCGTTTTCTTTTACAAAGAAATAGTCCAATTACCAGAGTAGTGATCAAAGTCACCAATAAAACAAGAGGAACAATGATTGCAATGCTTCCTGAAACAGGAAAAGGAAATATCGTTGAATGTCTTTGAATATTTGTTTTCTAAGGTAATCATTTTCTGATGTAGTCATTTTCACAGCTGTGAAATAGTTAAAAAAAAAAAAAAAAAAGAATAATTTCCCTTACCAATATGATTTGTGCTGAGGTGTATTAAGTTGAGATCTGAATACTGATAAATAGAAAAGTAGTTACAGCTATTGGTGCATCCCCTACAAGCAAGTTTGTCAACAGACCATGTGCTTCCTCAATTTGGCTATCAAACTTTGGGCTAAATCTCACTACACAAAGCTCTTCGAAATTTTGCCCTCTTTTACTATACAATTATGTATGGAACAGCTTAGACTGAGTAGCACGGTCACTGACTTTAACTGCCTCTGTCATCTTTAGCGCTTCATTTAAATCACATGATTACTAATTTAAAAGATTCAGTAGTCATGGACCTGCCTGAATAATTCTGTTATTAGCTTCTATATATATTTATTACTTTTACTTGTGGGAAAGATGAAAAGCAGTAAGCAAAATTCATTTATAGGTGGTTGGCACATTTGTGCATTTTACTGCATTCAACCTGAGAGCCAATAACTTTGTTATGTTGATATAAGCAATCAAGGCAACTGCAGTAATGCTTAATGTTGCAGAAAAAGAGTGTACAGATCAAACAGTGATGTTAAAGGAATGGATAAAAAGCGAGAACAGAGATGAAGAAAATTGTCTGAACTTTATTTTGGCAGGTGACTTCAGTGACATGAGACTACCTGCAGGAAGAAGGTCAGCAATTGTATCCTTCTAAGAATTTCACAGTTCTAATGTAAGTATTTGGCAACAAAGAAATACACGTTTCATGCTGTAACAGCTCTCAAAGTGGCTCTTGCAGACTTCAAGACTCCAGCAAGAGAAAATGTGGAAGAACATAGATTTTCTTCAATAGCACAATACATAACTGGAGAAAAATGAAAATATCATTCATGTATCATATTAGATGGACAACTATGTATGTTGTTGGCAGGCTCTGCTCAAAATTAAACATGGTCTAAATAATTAACTGCAAAATACATAATGGGATTAAGGTTCACTGGGAACCAAGTCAGATTGTGATAGGCTCAAAATGAACTATTACTGAACAAAACACCAGGAGCATTCTGAACTTATTCAAACTTATGAAGACTCAACATATTCAGGATATTCCAGAATTCCCACTGTATGGCCATGTTTATGTAGAACACTGGAAGAAGTTCCACTTTGAGGGGAAAAAAAAAAGACTTTACTGGGGGATGTGTATATATATGTATATAAGCAGGAGTATATATATACGTGTGTGTGTGTGTGTGTGTATGCATATATACAAACAAAAATACACAACAAAAAAACCCCACCTACGAGGCGTGAGTTGCTGTCTGCTGATTGTTGTGCAGTCTGGGGTCTAACTGCAGGCACAGGATGAACACCTCTTTTCTAAATCATCGCAGGTATTTCCTCACCAGGAAATCCTCCCTGCTTTTCTGACCATTTCCAGCTGCTATTATTTTACTTGTCTGGATTGCTAGGTAGATTGCATCTAAACACCAAGCTGACCTGAATAGTGGGCAATTCATTCCAGTCGGGTTAAATGTGATGGAGGGATGTGCAGCAGGATATCATCAGCATACTCAGTGCACTGCAGGCTACCCTGTCCAGTTTAGACTGCTGATAGCGTTGCAATACCACCCTTTTATGCTTACAGGCATGTTTAAAAAAAAAACACGACAGGAGCTATTCCTACTTTCAGGATGATTTTGACAGTAGGAAAAATTCAAACGTCTGCTGACAGCCAATGCAAAACAGATGAACTACTTACAACTCTATTTTTGAAGCTTTCAATGGGACTTAAATGGTCAGAGGTCTTGTACTCGTGCTCTGCCCAGCAGTGATATCAGCAAGCACTTGTCACTTGATAACACTTTTTTTTTTTTTTTTTTAAGAAGAGTACAGGAGTACAGGTTAGCCTTGAGAGAGTGTATGTATAACAAGACACCTATCCTCATACAGCACCAAATGTCAATCAAATGTTGAGAAAGACCTACATTTGTTATTTTATAAAAATAGACAACTACCGCATATCATTTCACACACTCTGATTCTAAAATATCATGAAGTTATAACTTGTAAATGAACAAAATTTGTCACATGATAGCAGCTAATACTTGAAGTACTTACTTGTACTGATGTTGTCAGACTTGCTGCTTTTGGGAGCTGGCCTCTCACACTGTGTGCCTGACCAGTTGGCCGAACATCTAAAAGGGTCCAATTAAAATGGCAAAATTAATAGTGTTAGCTGTTAACACTGACATATTACAGAAGCCACCAGCAGCTTTTCAAGAGCTACATGAATGGTAACAGTGACTCTACAGCACCAACGAGAAGCTTCGCGAGAGGACCCAGCAACGCACCATGACACACTCTCAGTCTTCTGGATCTTATTGGAAAACTAAAGCTTCCAGTAAACTAAAACTAAAACTAAATTTCTGTTACTACCTCTACAAGCTTTATTCCAGTTATTTTCTAAAGTTCTTAAATAACAAAACAGCCATAACAAACAGCGTGTTATTATACCTATTACACCAACCCCTACCTACTACACAATATTGCAGGAATACCTGAGGTGGATCTGTGTTCAGCCAACTTAGTCCAGCTGTGTTCATTTGCTAAGGGACAACATTGCATGACTGCTCTAACTAGTGGCTTCCATTGGTAGCTCTAGCAACTACTTCCCCAGTGCACGAAGCACATCTGACTGCACATAAAATTCAGTATGCATCCAGTAGCTCGCAGGATCCATAGTGACTGCATCATTCCAGGGTATTCCTGTCCCCCATTGCTCTGGCTAATGGAAAATTTACTTTTGAACTGTTTCTACAAGAGCAGCTGCAATAATTTACTTACGTGATTGGACCTATCTTTGAATAACAGTCACAAACTGACTGCGGTTCCCATGTTCTCTGCTTTCAGATTTAAATGCTTTTCTAAAAATTCTGCCGTTTAATTATGTTTTTAAATTATGTAAGTAAATAAGTATTTATAGATATATATATATATAGTGCATATATGTTTACATATGTGAGAGTTTAAAGCATGTAAAGATCTGAAACTGAAGGAACATCAATATCTATACTGCCTTCCAACGGTCTAGCTTTATGCTAAGAACATATGCCTCACAAGCCAGGTTAACTTTATAAAAATGCAATAAAGAATACTTTGCATACAGAACTATTGTTCTGAACTAATGAACTCTGTGATATCCCTGCAGGTTCTTGCAAAGGAACGGCTAGTTTCCCACTTCGCCCTCATGCCTATTTCAGCATAACCCAACATTCAGACAAATCTCTTTACTACGTTTCACATTACATTTTAACTTTCATTTTGGTTTTGATTTGATTTTTGCTCCAATATGTTATGCAAGGGCTCAGTTCAAACTCTACAGAGGTAAATAATGCACACGTGGTCTTTCAAAAATGTTTATTGCTAGTTGGTTCAAAAATGTTCATACAATAAATAAAAATACATTATAATTTAGTAAGTTCTTTTGCCTAATCTCATAGATAAACACGGTAAATACACACTTAAATGTCCTTTCTGGGAAGCCGTTCTCCCTCCCAAGTTATTAATTACAGAAAATATTGCTCACAATAAAGCGTTTTAAAATTTAAACCAACTGCCATCTCTTGCTTACCACCACTTCAGCACACTCTGAATCATAAATCGTAAGTTACACTTATGATTTTAATCAAAAGATGTGCTCTCCTATTCTGCAGCTGTTCCATTTTTATAGATCCCATTTGAGCAATTACGCCCAATGGAAATGATTACACTGATAGCCTACCTTACTAGTTTGCTATTTTAAGGAATTTGCTTTTTCAGGAGATCACAATGCAATGCATGGTTGCAAAGTATCTCTAGGCTTGTAGAGAAATACTATAAATCTTCCTACTTTGTGAATTCTGTATGCATCCAAACTGTTTGCATGTGACAACTATAGAGCTGAAAGTCTTATATTTCTTAGCAGAATTTTTGCAATATTGTCTTTGGGAATTCAATGTATGTGGTCAAAGCTTCTTTTGAGAGGCAATTTTCCCTTAAAACTGCGCTACTGAAAATAAATGATTTTGCTAAGAGTTAAACCTACCCTAACTTTCTGCCTAAAATGCTTACTCTCAAAATTTCAAACACTCAGCTGGGTAAGTGATCCATGACAACGAGCCCATTTTACAGCAGTCGAAAGAGAATAAAGCAGTGGAAGTAACAAAGAGTCCCCACTGAAACCCCTGCCAGTAGAAGCTTTCGAGAAAACTCTGCCTAATGTACAGACGTTTCAAAATCTCACAAGAGATAAGACATTCACCACAGCTAGGAAACACTTCAGCTATACACAGTAGATGGATAAATGATTAGAAGATCTTGACATTTTAATTGTGTAAGTTGGCAATATTAAAATACTTCTGAGGTATTTTGCCTCATGGGATGCTATCTAGATGCCACCTTGTTTTCTTTATTCCACATTTGCTATCTCTAAAAAAACATCAGTGGACTGATGCCAACAGGATGCCAGGCACTTTATTATCTACTTAGAGGCAAAAGGATTTCACTTTTATGGCCCAGGAAGCTAATAAAGACTCTTCTTGGAGACAGAACTAAAAAAAAAGAAATGAAGTCCAGAGGAAAGATGTGTAGTTTGCAAGGGAATTTGAGACAGAAAATAAGCAACGATTTGGCACATGAATAATGATGGGGTTGGGACATGGACAACTGTTGCTATGGGGATGTGGAAGAAATGAGCAGGTTTTAACTAGTTTCACTGTTCTTTAGATACAGTAGACAGAAATTATTCATAGTAACAACAGACATTTTTCTGGTATTAGAACATTTAGACTCAGGCTGCTCCGTATCCAGCAAGTAAAACAACTTCAGATTTCAGCAGATGCATATTATTTTCTACCTTCCCAAAACATCTGCTATCAGAAGCTTTGGTTCTTTAGTACTGCCACCAGTCTTTTTGTTAGAGATACGACATTTGCAGCATGGGCAACCAAAAATTATATCAAAGAAACAGCAAACAGCATTATACAAAAACCACTGGTTCTGTTAAAGACATTAATACAATGAAGATGTGTGAAGCAGGATAATGCTAATAATATCAAAGAAACAGCAAACAGCACTATGCAAAAACCACTGGTTCTGGACATTAATACAATGTAGATGTGTGAAGCAGGATAATGCTAATACCCAAGCTGAGCTACACATAAACAAATGCAGATGGAAACAGTCAGGGAGTTTGGCAGTGCAGGACATGGTGGCAGGTGCAGGACATGGTGCAGCTGCTACAGGGATCACCTTAGGGTGCAAACCTCCAGCTCCCTATAGCATCAGCCAACAGTTCCAACAGCACTAACACCCTACAGAACAACAGTTTAAATCCTGAAAGGGAACAGCATAAACAAAGACTGAACCAAATCTGATGCCAAGGTCATTAATAAAATTACACTATTGCTCTCTCTGCTATACTCTACTATGCTTCTCCTACATTTAGAGAGAGATGATTCCTTGGGAAGCATATACCTTCCAGGACACACAATGCCTGTGTGACAGGAATCATTTGTGTAGCATTACAGAAAAAAAAGGTTTTTTTTTTTTTTTTTTTTTTTAAACTCTAAACTGCAAGTTTAGAGTTTAAAAACCGAAAGTTGCTTTACTTGTAATAAAGAACAGTTAGAACCAAGATACTTGCATTTCTGAAAAGCATCTTTTATTTATGAAAGAATTTATTTATGAAAGAAAATGTGTCCTGCCTTTATTTTTTATGCTCCTTACAGGTCAGAACACTGAAGAAACTTCAAACTCTATTACATTGGCACTTGACCAAAAGGAACTATTGATTGTTAAATTTCTGAACAAATATATATAAAAAAAGCAAAAAGGCTAAATTGGTGGCAGCATGCTTTTTTTTTTCTTTTCTGTTTTTCCCCTTTTTTCTGTGCCACAGGCATTGTCTGAAAAATATAATATAGAAGACACAATACACAGTTACACGGTTAGAGGTATTTTTGTAGAGAACTGCTTTCCAACTCAATATACCAGTGTGTATCAAAAGACTGACAACGAATGCTGCATTAAAAGATTAGTCTAGAAGTCCAAGAGAATTGGTGAAACTTTCATTACAGCATAGAGGTTGAAGGGAATTTGAAAATGTGTCCTGATTAAAAATGGTATTTGCGAATTATATAAAATGGTTTTCTGACTTTTCATTTCCTTTTAATCATGCTGTATACAGTTACACCTTAAAAGACAGTAAAATATCAAAATGAAGTTTGTAGCTTCATATTTTAAAAACATTTCCATTAAAATTTCTCTTGTAAATGTCTTATCCTTAACATTAAACCTACATGTAAGATGAAAGAACAGAACGTCTGGATTATAGCTATTTACTATCTGTATTTAAAATCTGTATTAAATAACATTGAAAAATGCAAATTTAAAAAATCCTCTTTTTCCCTCAAAACCCTCTGCAAAGACATAGCACAACACAAGCCTTGCATTAAACTAAATCACTATACTATTCCTGAAGTGCAATTAGTGATACTTTTGTACGCAAGGTTTTCATCATACAGGGAGCAGATGTTATTGCTATACAGAAAATCACTTTTGAGGAACTTGAAGAATCTGAAATTTAATAAAAATGTACATGGAAAAATAAAATGTTGCTATAAACATAAATGTAATTATATTATATACAAATTATATACTAGTTACAAATTACACTATATACAAATATAATTTATGCTGCATGTGGTTCACTGCCAAGAAATAAGCCTTGAGATGAAACTTCATTTTATCAACCCAAAGCAAAAGTTCAAGTATCAAAGCAGTTGAGGATCAGTAAACTCCCCACTACTAGGAAAATGTATACAGTACACATACTGTACATATACTAATGATAATATACAGTAAATACGCAAAGATTAAATGTATCCAGATAACTATTACTCTGGCTGAATTATACTGAGTACCTAAAATGGAAAGACCCTATAGCATCAGCCAACAGTTCCAACAGCACTAACACCCTACAGAACAACAGTTTAAATCCTGAAAGGGAACAGCATAAACAAAGACTGAACCAAATCTGATGCCAAGGTCATTAATAAATTTACACTGTTGCTCTCTCTGCTATGCTACTATGCTATACTCTACTATGCTTGTCCTACATTTAGAGAGAGATGATTCCTTGGGAAGCATATACCTTCCAGGACACACAATGCCTGTGTGACAGGAATCATTTGTGTAGCATTACAGAAAAAAAAGGTTTTTTTTTTTTTTTTAAACTCTAAACTGCAAGCCGAAAGTTGCTTTACTTGTAATAAAGAACAGTTAGAACCAAGATACTTGCATTTCTGAAAAGCATCTTTTATTTATGAAAGAATTTATTTATGAAAGAAAATGTGTCCTGCCTTTATTTTTTATGCTCCTTACAGGTCAGAACACTGAAGAAACTTCAAACTCTATTACATTGGCACTTGACCAAAAGGAACTATTGATTGTTAAATTTCTGAACAAATATATATAAAAAAAGCAAAAAGGCTAAATTGGTGGCAGCATGCTTTTTTTTTTCTTTTCTGTTTTTCCCCTTTTTTCTGTGCCACAGGCATTGTCTGAAAAATATAATATAGAAGACACAATACACAGTTACACGGTTAGAGGTATTTTTGTAGAGAACTGCTTTCCAACTCAATATACCAGTGTGTATCAAAAGACTGACAACGAATGCTGCATTAAAAGATTAGTCTAGAAGTCCAAGAGAATTGGTGAAACTTTCATTACAGCATAGAGGTTGAAGGGAATTTGAAAATGTGTCCTGATTAAAAATGGTATTTGCGAATTATATAAAATGGTTTTCTGACTTTTCATTTCCTTTTAATCATGCTGTATACAGTTACACCTTAAAAGACAGTAAAATATCAAAATGAAGTTTGTAGCTTCATATTTTAAAAACATTTCCATTAAAATTTCTCTTGTAAATGTCTTATCCTTAACATTAAACCTACATGTAAGATGAAAGAACAGAACGTCTGGATTATAGCTATTTACTATCTGTATTTAAAATCTGTATTAAATAACATTGAAAAATGCAAATTTAAAAAATCCTCTTTTTCCCTCAAAACCCTCTGCAAAGACATAGCACAACACAAGCCTTGCATTAAACTAAATCACTATACTATTCCTGAAGTGCAATTAGTGATACTTTTGTACGCAAGGTTTTCATCATACAGGGAGCAGATGTTATTGCTATACAGAAAATCACTTTTGAGGAACTTGAAGAATCTGAAATTTAATAAAAATGTACATGGAAAAATAAAATGTTGCTATAAACATAAATGTAATTATATTATATACAAATTATATACTAGTTACAAATTACACTATATACAAATATAATTTATGCTGCATGTGGTTCACTGCCAAGAAATAAGCCTTGAGATGAAACTTCATTTTATCAACCCAAAGCAAAAGTTCAAGTATCAAAGCAGTTGAGGATCAGTAAACTCCCCACTACTAGGAAAATGTATACAGTACACATACTGTACATATACTAATGATAATATACAGTAAATACGCAAAGATTAAATGTATCCAGATAACTATTACTCTGGCTGAATTCTACTGAGTAAAAAAAGAGTGGATCAAGGTGGTAAAGATATGAAAAGATTCAGAAATGACTGGATTGACAGGTATATGACCATGTTTTTCTCTCTTTCCCACTGAGATAAAATAAGTAGTGATGTATAATGGCAATTTTTGTACATGTTTTATCCAAACAGGTTTAAACTCATAGACAAAAGATATGTAGCCTGTCTAGAAACGGTTAATGAAAAATTTGTATATACTTTTCTATAGTCTTGTCACTTTGCCCTTTGACTCCCACTCTTTAAATATCCAGGTGGATTTAATTCTTTAAATACGACTCTGTAATACAAAATTGAGGCAAGATTTTCTATTAAAAGAAAGTTAAAATCTGCTGAATATGTTCAAATTCAAGACATTTAACCAATGTGGTGAAAGAGAAGATTATGAAGAACTAGCATAATAGTGTGAACCTCCTGTTGTAACTGCAATTGAGTAATCATTAAATATCCTCTAGGAAGTGATACAGAAAATATTTCTTGTAAGGTATTTGATGAAAACTGCTGCTGTTCTCTCTGCCATTTTTACTTTCTGCTGCCCTCTACTCTTTGGTATTCTTCTTGATGCTGCAGCTATTCTATGCTGCAGTGGCTTTATTTATTTATTTATTACTCAGTCTTCAGAAAATGCTAGGTCAAGGGATTTCTGTTTGTCTTGTCCACAGACAGACTGTTCTGATCACAGTTCACCCACAGTTACGCATCTTGTGCACATACACACACTTGCACAGAAACTGATCCCACCTTAGAAGACATTTTGATAGTAAAGGAATGGGGAAGGGTATGGCATTATGCAATATGAGCTTGAGAAACTTTCCCCCATCAACAGCAACGTGTTCTTTTCTTCCAGGTCTCTACAACACACATCCATGCACACCCACACACGCTCACAGTGTCTCTTTCCAACCTGCTGAAAGGAAAGCTGGCAAGAACATCTCTCTCATCCATTATATTTCTGTGGGAATTGGTTTTCTAATTTTCACATGTCAGCACTTCAAGTATTTGTCCCCCTTGTAAGAAATTTCAAAACTTGCTTTCCACATTTGTTCAATGTTGTCTTTAATATATTACTCAGCCAAATTGTTCATTTTAGAAATTAATGAATTCTTTTTTTCTTCCTTGTTCATTTGTCAGCTTCTGCTACAAGTTGTACTGTTATACTTTCTTTCAAGCTCCTGTACGGAACGTGCTTTTTAATTAATCTAAAAGGCCACTGATTTCTCTACCAGATTTGCTCTCAAAAGCCATGCATCTGCTGACTGCAAGCAATTAAACAACCCGGATGGCTTATTCTTCATTACAGAAGGGATGTTCGTTCTAATTTAGAAATACAACATGCACAATCTGAAGCTCTCTCAATAGTCAACACATTTAACCACAGGCAACTAATTTAATGCTGTGAATTGTTTTCTGAATTTCTCTCTCTTTTTCTGATGGCTCCTTGGAAACGGAAGATCCAAACTTTAGATACAGAGACCTGCACAAACCCTTATGCTGAAGGAGATGTAAGAAGGAATAAAAGATCATCCTCTTATATTTGTCAGCACAGTAATATAATCTAACTTTTGTCAGCTTGAAATCCTCAGCTGCTCTCAAACTTGCTCAAAAGTCTCTTATAGTATTTACAAACTCTCTTTAAATTGTCAGGTTTATATAAGGATAAATATGATTTTTTATGTCTTGTATCATCTTGAATCATGTTGACTGTGAACTTTGTATAACAAGAACATCCTTCATTATATTTCTATGTCTACTTCAAAGACATTCTAATTTGATCACATTTATGTGACAATACAAATAATGGTAATATAAAAACTAAGACATAATTATAGCAACCTATAGTTATGGCAAAGGTATAAAAGAAACAAAGTTATTTGGGAGGAAGTAATATTCTTTACCATTAACTGATATAGCCCTGCTTTTATAGAAGCTGAGGAAGACCTCGTGTACTAGAATTTGTTTATGTTCTTTCCAATTCTATAGGTATGAAGTTATTTGGGAGGAGGTAATATTCTTTACTATTAACTGATATAGCCCTGCTTTTAAAGAAGCTGAGGAAGATCTTGTGTACTAGAATTTATGTTCTTTCCAATTCTATAGGTATAATACAAGATATAACCTCTCCCTAAACTTTGTTTCCCTTGCATGAACTGCATATGCAGTTAGATAATTTGTGAGAAGGAAACTCACAAAATATACAAAATAAAGCTAACTATTAAAACACAAAAGATAAACTGATAGAACAGATGGAACTGACATTTTCTGAAATAAACAGAAAAAGCATTTCTTGTTTCCCATTTGAACCTGATCTCCCTTTTGTTCTGCTTTCAGCAGATTTGTGAATTTAGTGCGTGCAATTCAGAAGCAACTCATAGGCTTCTAGTGTTATATTTGTCCCTCACATAAACTATCCGGGGAATCCTTAAGAAATCCTTAAGAAATGTGATATGTGACTGCTAAAAAGATAGTGAGTAGTCATAAGACCATATTCTTAAAAGATACTCTCAGTGGTGCATAGAAATTAAATGGTGATACCTTAAATTTTAACATTCTGATATTAATTTTTTTCTCAACCTTCCTTATTAAGCAATAAGGAAAATATTATGGAAAAAAAATCTTCATATTTTCAAAAATACTGCTAAGAATTAATAATTTGGCTTGCATACCACCTTATGTCTAAAGACCAACTGCAGTATATTCTGTATTCTTCAGAACTTGACAGAGAATTCGCTGAAACTAGAGACCAATATCACATATTCTTCCCTTTTAGAGGCTGATGTGTAGTTGCAGTGGGGCTTTAATTCAATCATAAGCTGGTTAGGTGAAAAGGACAACTTCTATTTCCAGCACACAACACAGAACATTCAGTGGATTCAAGTTTTAAAAACTTGAAGAAGATTTCAGGATAAAAAATGGTGTAACAGTTCAGGTTGGTAAAAGCAGAGTACAGTCCTAGAGGCTTACAGCTCCTCTGTATAATTATGGCTTTAGGATTGCCCTTCAGAATAGATAAATCATATTCTCTGTTGTCTTACTGAATGCTAATAAGCATTTACTTGATTGTGTATAAAGTTTGCATTCCCTACTGATAATGCTGAGAGAGGAGAGGGGCTCTTGCTGAGTGAGAATACAAATAAGCCAGCCACTTCCAATTTCTTTTTTTTTTTCTAAAAATTGTCCACCAATACATTGGAGGTGACTTTACAAAGAGATTAGTCAACTATTTGGTCTTAGAGACCAAATAGATGTCATCCAGATCTGCAAGCAGGAGAGAGAAACTATTTCCCCTAAAACTGGAGTGGAATGTACATAGAAAGTCTTTGACGCTACTCTTCCACGGCACAGCAGCTCTCAGAAAACACAAGGTTACTTTATTCCTCACTGATGTCTCTTACTTGCCAATATGGGCTTGGCAAAATCATAAACAAAGTCAGGTTAAGAACTACTTTGGTGCCAGAAAAACACATGACATTGGGATCAGTTGGAGCTCTTACTGAAGTTGTCAAGAATAAATACATATATGGAATTGCACTTCTTCCTCTACATCACCATAACTGTCAACTTATTCCTCCTACTTGCTTCTCTTCCCTTTCCTCTCAGCCATTTCAATTTTTTAAAGAGAAAAAGGGTTTAGAAGATTTTATCAACAATTCCTTGACACAGTCACTTTACCAGCTATATTTACCAATGTAAATATAGCTAAACCAACCCAAAAGATCATGAGAACATGCAATGTGAAAAAGTGCATATCAACACTACTCCAAAAGTTTCTAAGTAATTGAATTAACTTTGCAGAAATTCTACTGTTGTTATTTTTGTGAGCTGAAGCAGAATGTAACTCTTGGTGTCTAAAAAAAGGGTAATGCTTCAGCAGAAAGTTTATCTTAAAAATGATGAAAGATTCAAAGAATCAAAATTATTTTTTTCTGTAAAAAACTTGTATTAGATAAACTTTTAGCAAATTTTTACAGTTTAAATAATTAATATTTTCCTAAAAGCTGTCAGAGATAGTATGAAATGTCATCTTCAATGTTCTTTTTTTTAGACTACTTTATATATTAAAACATTTCCCAACCAATTTTGGCTTGTTTCTTCCTTGAGAGTTCAGATAATGTGCCTCAATGCTTTGGAAAAAGATCAAAAAA